GGATCGTGCAGGACAATTCTTCTCTGGTTCTTAAGGCACAGGTCCTTGATCATTTTTCATGAAAAATGCTTTTGTAAATGAAGGTGATTAATTAGGCTGAGTGGATACCTTGGGGCCTTTGCCCAATTTTCAAAGTGATGTTCATTTGTGGCCCATTAGGGCTCTTCCATTCACATTGTTTGATGAGAATGGCAGAGCATGGTAAGTACCATATTTTTTTTAATTATGTCTAGGTCCTTCTATTCTTGTTGACGACCATATTTGTCTTTGATGATCAAATTTTGTTTTAGGGCGGATGGACTGGAGCTTATCAAAGACCAATATGAACTTTCTCAGTTTATAGAGTTTTGAAGATTGCTTACTTTTGCATTGCCTTGATTGATGTGTTGGGAGAAGAGCCTTGCTAAAGATTGCATAATCTAGCAATACAAACGTGTATGGGTTTCTTGTAGAATAAGTCTTCCTTGGATTCTTTTGGATTGCAATGCAAATACATACAAGGAGGATCAAGTTGACACTTTATAATATTAAAGACTGTTGAACTTTTTTTTTTCTTTACTCTTTGGAAAATGGAAAACAAGTAGGCAAACCATATTTTGTATGTAGTTGTTTTAAGTTTTAAATACATACGAACATGGCTTTGTAGAAAAGTGGAAACGCCCAAGATATTTTCATTTCCCTTCAAAATGTAATTTTATCTGCTCATCCAATTATTGCCATTAAATAATTTTTTATTTAATTGTAGATTTTAATGTCGGGATAGTGATTTATTTCCTTATCATTAGTAGTATTTTAAAGTATAAAATAATTTGCATATATCGAAATAAAAAGAATGTTTGTATAAAGTATGTTATAACAAAAGTTTTATGTAATCTATTGTCATTAATCCTAAATGGTAATTATATTATTAATTACTAATGATTTTTGAAAATAACAATGTAAGTAAGGCCATGATTTTGCATCTTTGGAAATTTTTCTCCTTTGCCTATATGGTCAAAGTTTAATGGTTTTATGTTTTCCTTCACTAGTTATTTTCTGAGTTTAAATTCACCAGAAGTTGCCTATCATTTTCGTTGTTATCTCAGAGCTAATAAAAAAATGGGTCTGTTGTTGTCATTTATGTGTTATGAGCTATATTTTGTACTTGTATTTGAAGAGTCCTTCCAGTCTAAGAAATCTTTTAGGTTATTTTTCCCCAGTACATGAATGAACTCTGCATTTTCCTGCTTCCTATATAATTTGAGAACCTTCTTTTTTGGCAATTTTTAATGCCTTACTCCTCTTGCGAGAGATTTAAAGATCAGCTTGAGGCACATGAATCCTCTTCCCTACCTCATCCATCATCTATTGTTTCCATCCACAAAAGCACATCCAAAGCCATCCTATGAAAGAGCATCCCAACCCCTCCCTCCCTCCCATTCATTATATATGAGATTTGCGCCTAGCAAGAAGTGGTGTAGTAAGGTTTCTTCTCCCCCGTCCACAGTCTAGTGAAAAAAAAGAAAAAAAAAAGAAAAAAAAAAAAAAAGTGAGGAGAAGCTTGAGGAGATGTCTAATAAAAAATTGGCTTCACTTGAAACTACCTAGAGGGAAAATCTAAATACAATCCTGAACTTATATTTATGGATTAGCAAGTCTTCCTAGTTCTACCTCTGCCTTTCTTAACATAAGTCAAATCTAAAACATCTACTCTTCTAATCGGATCATCAGATGGTCGACGTTTAATGTGACCAAGCCATCTAAGACGACTCTCTAATTTTAATTTTGTCCGTCACTGGAGCTACACCAACCCTTTTACATTTGGTTTAAGGGCCTTGATTTCACATTGTCTATAAAGTGTAAAGCCACTCATTCACCTAATCATTTTCTTCTCGGCAACACTTAACTTAGTATTATACTTCTCTTTTCATGACCAACATTCAACGCCATAGTGCATTGCATGCCTCACCACTATGTTATAAAATTTTCCTTTCAGTATAAACAATATTTGTCTATCACACAATAGGCCCAAAGCATTCCTCCACTTCAACCAACCAACTTAAATTCTACTAATAACATCCCTATCAATATCACCATCACTTTGAACAATAGACCCGAGATATCTAAATCGTTCTCACCTTTTAATAATTTAATCACCCATAGTTACATTTCTATCACTAGAGCTACTACTGCTAAAGTTACATTCCAAGTATTCAGTTTTAGTTCTACTCAAATGAAGGCCTTTAGACTCCAGGGTAGACCTCCATAATTCAAGTTTTTCTTGAGATTTTTCTCTCGTCTTATCCATGAGAAGGATATCATCAACAAAAAGCATATACCAAGGTACATCCTCCTGTAAGTGTCCAGTAAGACCATTCATAGCTAAAGCAAAAAGATTTGGGCTTAAAGCCCATACCTGATGTAAACCAACAGAAATAGGAAAATATTTGGTCAATCCTCCTTTTGTTCGGACACAAGTAACAACTCTTGTATACATATCTTTAATGACTTGAATATAAGTCATATCAACGCCGTTCTTCTAAAGAACTCTTCAAAGGATATCTCTTGGAACCTTATCATAAGTTTTTTCAAATTAATAAAAATCATATGTAAATCCTCCTTATTATCTCTGAACTTCTCCATTAAACCTCTCAATAAATGTATAACTTCCATATTAGACCTGCCCGACATAAATCCAATTGATTATGAGAAATCTTTGTAATACGTTTTAATCTATGTTCAAGTAACCTCATGACACATCAACTTAATTCCTCTATAATTTGCACACTCTTGTGCATCCCCTTTATTCTCCGAAATGGGGACCAAAATTCTCTTTCTACATTCCTCAGACATCTTTTTAGTTTTTAAAATCATATTAAAGAGTTTAGTAAGCCAAGAAACTTCCAAACCCCTTAAATATTTCCACACTTAAATTGGGATATCATCAGGTCTTACAGACTATCCATTCTTGTTTTTTCTAAAGCCCCCTCAACTTCTTTTTTACTAATGCGATGGTAAAAATAAAACATTTTATTAATATTAACGATTTTAAGATCACTAAGGTAGATCGTATCTCCTGAAACTTCATTAAAGAATTTATCAGAATAACACACCCACCTATTTTGAATATCAATTTCTAAGAAAAACACTTTTTGGTTTTTATCTTTAGTACACTTTATTTGAGTTAAATCTTTACTTTTCTCTTCTCTTTGCTTGGCTAGTTTATACATATATTTTTCACCCTTCTTAGTATATAATCTCTTATAAAGATCACTGAAAGCAGAATTTTAAGCGTCATAGATTGTTCTTTTAGCCTCCCTACGGACCGTTTGATATTTTTCCCGTTCTCTAAGCTTTTACATTTAAACCAATTTTTATAATATAACTTTTATTATATTTTTTCTTTTTTTCCACATTATTATTGCACTACCAAATATTTTTATTTATAAAAAACTTTTCTTTTGATTCTCCAAGTACAACTTTTACCACTTGTTTAATAATGTTTGTTCTTTTTTCCCACATAGAATTTGCTCCTTCGTGAATATTTCAAATTTTGAAATCTTGATATTTATTCATAAAAATAAATTTATTTGTCTTTTAGGCACCTCTATCTAATTCTATGATAATGATTTCTATTATTCTTTGTTTTACAACTCTTTATCTTAAAATCTATAACTAATAATCGACATTGAGTACTAAATCTTCACTTGGAATGATCTTAAAATCTTTACATTATCGACGATCTCTTCTTCTCATAAAAAAATAATCAATTTGTGTTTTATTGGATCCATTCTTATAAGTAATAATATGCTTATCTCTTTTCTTGAATAAAATATTAGCAATAACAAAGTCATAGGTTAAAGCAAAATCTAATATAGCTCTACCTTCTTCATTAATCACTCAAAAACCATAACCACCATGAATATTTTTAAAATATTCTACTACTCCACTGACATGTCCATTTAAATCTTCTCCAATAAAAACTCTTTCTTCAAGAGGTATCATTTGAATTAGGTATTCTAAGTCATTTCATAATTTATCTTTAAACCTATATCTAAACCTACTTGAGGAGCATAAACACTTATAAAATTAAAAATCTTAGTTTCAACAATAATTTTAAGGGCTATAATTCTATCTCCAACTCTATTAATTTTTACTACATTATTTTTAAAACTCTTTATCTATAATTACACCTACACCTTTTCTAGTGCGACTCTTACCTGAATACCAAAGTTTTAAACCTAAGTTATCAATCTCCTTAGCCTTTTCTCCAACTCATTTAGTTTCTTGAACACATAAAATATTTATCTTTCTAGAATCATAATATCAGTTAATTCCATTAATTCACATGTGAGAGTATCTATATTCCAAGATTCTATTCTAATATTAGTTTCATGAGCTAATTTCTTTACCCGCATCCGTCCGTAATGTGAGAACACTTGCTTATTTGATATTACTCCTGGGCGCTCTTGTAGCGGCCCTTGCACACTTTTCACTATATTCAGACCATACACCGCACCGCTTCCAGGGGACGTCCTAACACTTACACAATGATTAAAAAGATTCATGTCATGATTTTCTCGACAAGTTTTACGCTGACTGTCGACTACCTAACACAACTCTCTATTTTCTATATCCGGGTTTGGGACCGACAATGACAATATTAGTAAAAAAAATATTTGAGCCGGGTGGGATTGGTAAGTGAGGTGTGCGTGTCGAGGGTAGCTTTTAGCTATTTAATAGCTGCGGTAAATTGAGCAACCAAAAGGAAAAGCTATTCCATTATTGCACAAGCATCAACAAAATATTTTATTTTCTAAGGGATATCCCCATTGGCATTTCATATAAAGAGGGCCATGATTTTGATAAGTTTTTGGGTTTTATTCCTCCTTATATAATGCTAGTCAGTCATACTTGTTTTGCACGGAATCAGTATCATATGTTTTCACCAGTTGATTATGTAATTCAATAAAACTTTTTAAAATACATTAAGTACTAAGAAAGTTTTTTGTTTAATGCAGCACAACTGGAATACGGGACCCTGTTACATCTGCATTGCACATTATCTTTGGAAAAAATATCTCTTTGGATGTAGCTCAGGTGGTTAGATGGAAAACCACTCCATCTTCGACAGATACGCCTTCAGTACGTTATGCTGCTTCTTTTGCTGGGTAAGCACCATATCAGTTGCACAGTTTAGTGTTGAGTTGAAGACTATACTATTTGGATAAAGTTATGTTTTTCATGCTAGAATTCTTATTTGTAGTAGGAATAAGGGCATTTAAGAGTTAGCATTCGACTTCACCTCTTTCACACCCTTAATTATTATAACAGTGTATATATGACCTTATTTATATTGCTGTTGTATGGTAGATATGGATTTTATGGAGATGTCATCAAAGGAAGTGAAAAGTACCGGTGGATGGGTCCTTCACGCTATGACTTTATAGGAACAAAAGTGTTCTTGGAGCATAGGTTATTTCTTTTCTGCCATATAATGAATTGATGCACATACATGATACATTTGAACAATATTACATCTTTTCTTACCTTTTTTTTGGAAATTTTTTAGAGCCTATGAAGCAGAGATTAGTTTCCTAGAAGCAAAATCGGTTGAAGCAGTCAGTGAAGCACAATTGGCTGGGACACACCAAGTACTACTTCCTAGAAGCAGCCCTAATAAAAGAATGTGCCGTACTAACTGCAGTGTCTGTATTGAAGCAACAGAATCTTCTAAAATGCTTTCAAATGGAGGCAACAATAGCTCTAATGGTCAAGTTGAGGATTTGAGATGGTCACAAAGCAAGGGGCGTTTCCTTAGTGTTGGTGCAGCTGTTATTTCATGTCGTAATGAACGGGCGCCCGATGGTTTGGTTGCAGATGCACATCTTTCTGATGGTTTTCTCCATCTTATACTAGTTAAAGACTGTCCTCGACCTTTTTATTTGTGGTAATTTTAACAATTCTGTGATCCACTTTGCATTTTTCCACTTGCTTATTTTACTTATCTCAACCTCTCAATACATGCACACATGAATGTTCAACTAGGCTTGTGCACACACATACATGCTTGTGCATGCGCATACAAACTCAATATGCATACTTACACATGCATGCGCATACAAACTCAATATGCGTACTCACACATGCATGTGTGTGCACACGTACACACGTGCGGACACACTAAAATGGAACATAGACACTGCATGCTCTCAATTATACTGCAATTGATGGTTGGAAAAAAAACAAGGTTTTAATTATAAATTTTTTTTTGCATTTCAACTTTAAATTGCATAGAAAGGTTACTTGCCTTTGCAAAATGAATGTGTTTTCTATCACTTTTGCTTGATTTTGTTCAACTATATTGTTAAAAAATAATGTCTTTATAAATTTGAATTCACTAACCAATAATGCTACTTGAACAATGAATTGATTTTCTTTCTGGCCCAAGACAGCCAATGATCCTGCTTGTTAAACAAACAAAATGAAAAGTCAGTTGTACATGTTTTGGACCATTGAATGGATTACCCATTTCAGAAAATCAACATCGATATTCAATTAAGAAAGCCACCCAATATATGAGAGCATGAATAATGATGCTTGATGCGTAAGAGGAGCTGCAAGATTGCGAGTGTTTGTGCCAATAACTTAAACTACTACAGCATCTAGAAAGTTGTCGAAATTTATTTTTGGATACCGCTTTCCTACATGGTTGTTCCATACTTGTGTCCAAAGATTTTCACCATTCATGAGGTCGATCAATGATATCAATATGGTCTCGATTACTATGATTTCTCGTGATAGTGCCTTCTAGTAGTATTGGAGAGCTTAGAAATTGTCGGCCAACCACAAGGGCTTAAAAAAAGGTTAGGCACCGACACTAGGATAGAAGATATAAGAGTTTTATGATTAATGACACCCCTTTGCTGAAATTTTTTGAAATTCAAATAAAAAATGCAGTTTATTTGAATTTTATGGAACAATTATTCAAAGAAATTTTATGAAGGCTGAGGAGGTGTTTGGTAGAACATTTTTAACGGGATTTAGCCATAGATTTAACTTAAATCCACCCAAATGCACAAAAAAAAAAACGAAAACAAAATCCAACTCTTTGTAAATCCGAATTTATTCCCATTTCATCTTCTCTACAGTTGTTCTGCAAATCCGGATTTACTAAATCCCATAGAGAGGCGGATTTGCCAGCTTTACGTTACCGTTGCTTGCGACCTTTGCTCTCATCACGAGCTCGCTGAAAATTTGAATTTGATAAATCCTACTTAACAATCTGATCGTGCTGCCAAACACCTCTGAAGGTGTGTAATGTACTTGTAAATTAAAGAACTTCTAGGGATTTTAGTGGAGGGTTTTTAGGAGCATGAATAGATGTGAAACAAGCCCTCAAACTTTGATTGGTGTGTAATGTACTGTAATGCCAGTCTTCAATAATGTTAGCGTTATAGTTGCGGGGGAGACGAACGAAGGGAAGCAAGTTAAGTACAGGAGAAGAGAGATGAGTCGTACTTGAACGAGTGGGGAGACAGAAGAAGAGAAGACGGAAGGAAGGAAGAAGAGGCTTAACGTGCTTCAAGGGCAAGTGTTCGTGCACTCGAAGTGGTGAATACGTCGACGCCGAGTGCGAGTACTAGGAGGAAGGAGGCAGCACAAACGCTGGCCAAATTGCAGAGAGGAACGGGGACGCTGCTTGCGAGAAGATTCCAGTAGCATATCTTGTGTAGGCGAAGGAGACGAAGCAGTTTTTGCAATTTCCAAGCAAGGAGAATTCATGAGCAAATGAAGGAGGAAATAACAGACGAGTTGCGAACTCAACGAAGATTATCGAAGGAGCTTGATGTTTAGGGTGACTCAGAGCCATCCGTCGAAAGAGAGGAAGATGAGTGGCATCAAGTGTGGTTCTCGCGAGCACGAGAAATTATTACATATGGAACACATACGCAACACTATGTGCGGACTCCAGTAATATGCCTCCATGTGTGTTATATCGGGCCCACCTCTCGCGGAGATTATTGAAGTGAAACTGCAGAGGTTATTGAGAGGGTAATTGGGGGTTATTGGAGCATTAATTCTAATAACTCCGCAATAACCTTTCAATAACGTCTAAATAACCTCCGCTCAATAACTTTCCAATAACCTCCGTGGTTACACTCCGCAATAATCTCATAATAACACCCCACCTCTTAATAACACCTCAATATCCCTCAATCATCTCCGTGATTTCACTTCAATAATCTCTCAATAACCTCAACGTAGCAGCATATTACTGGAAGTCCGCACGCAAAACTGCGTACGTGCTCCGTATGGAATAGTTTCTCCTCGAGCACACACACAAAGGAACTGTTAGTAAACATTACGGGTTTTTTGTGGGTTTTGAAGCAAATTTTGAGTGCCATTGTAGCGAACTCGAGTAGGAGAGGTGAAGCTCGCAGGTTAGGTATTATGCATTTCTAATTTATTTAAATCATCATTTTATCTTAAGTTCAATTTTATGTTATAATATTTTATTGACAAATATTTTATTATTTAAATGTAAAAATAAATAAATAATTTATAGGTATATTAAAAAAGAGAGAATTAATGTTTAGTTGTAATAATTATGAAATTAGTAATAATAATATGATTATATAATTAAATAATTGCTAAATGTACACAATATATTTGGTATTACTTTAAAAAATGATGATTCAATACATAGTGCTGTAATTTAATAATAATAATAATGATAAAAATAATAATAATAAAACAAAATAAGTTAACTTGTAAGACTTTTTAATTACAACAACAACAACAAAGCCTTAATCCCACTACGTGGGGTCGGCTACATGAATCCTTTTTCTCCATTGTGTCCTATTTAGTGTCATATTTTCATTTAGTTCTAATAAATTAAAATCATTTTTTATACAATAAGCCCAAGTTTTCCTAGGTCTGCTTCTGCCTTTCTTAACGTAAGTCGAATCTAAAACATCTACTCTCCTAATTGGATCATCAAAATGTTGACGTTTAATGTGACCAAACCATCTAAGACGACTCTCTCTAATTTTCTCCATCACCGGAGCTACACCAACCCTATCACGGATATATTCATTTCACATTTTGTCTCTAAGTGTAAAGCCACTCATCCACCTAATCATTCTCATCTCGACAACATTTAACTTAATATTATGCTATATTATGCTTCTCTTTTAAAGTTAAAGGCCAACATTCAGCTCCATAAAGCATTGCAAGTCTCACCACCCTCTTATAAAATTTTCCTTTTAGTATAAGCGATACTTTATTATCACACAAAAGGCCAGAAACATTCCTCCATTTCAACCAACCAACTTGATTTCTACTGTTAACATCACCATTTATATCACCATCGTCACCACCGCTTTGAACAACAGGCCCGAGATATCTAAATCGTTCACACCTTTTGATAATTTGATCACCCAAAATTACACTTCTATCACTAGAGCTACGACCAATAAAATTACATTCTATGTATTCAGTTTTAGTTCTACTCAAATGAAGGCATTTCGACTCCAATGTAGATCTCCATAATTCAAGTTTTTCTTGGGCTTTTTCTCTCGTCTTATCCACGAGAAGGATTTCATCAGCAAAAAGCATATACCAAGGTACATCCTCCTGTAAATGTCCAGTAAGACCATCCATAACTAAAGCAAAAAGATATGGGCTTAAAGTCGAGCTCTGATGTAATCCAACAGAAATAGGAAAATATTTGGTCAATCCTCCTTCAGTTCAAACACAACAACTCTAGTATACATATCTTTAATGACTTGAATATAAGTCCTATCAACAGCTTTCTTCTCAAGAACGCTCCACAAGACATCTCTTGGAACCTTATCGTAAGCTTTTTCTAAATCAATAAAAATCAAATGTAGATCCTTCTTATCATCTCTGAACTTCTCCATCAAACCTCTCAATAAATGTATAACTAATAAATAACTAAAGCAAAGCAACATAATTAAACTTAAATGCATTAATCTTAACTAAATGATGTAATTGAGAAAAAAGAGTAATAGTTAATAAATAACTAAAGCATAAATAACTAATATGATGGCAATGTATTAATATGAGTTTTTTCTATATTATAGGCGTTCACAGCTTAATGAGTAAAAATATGGAGAATATTGTGGTGAATACTCTTATTTTTAATCTATAGTTGTGTTTTGTTTCTTCTCAACCATTTATTGACACTTGTTAAATTAAATTGCCCAAGTTTTGTTTTGATTTATATACTCTTCTATTTATTGGTCATATCATTCTGAATGTTATATCTTTCTATAGTAATGACTATTACTCGTTATTTAAAGATATATATATGTGTGTGTGTGTGTGTGTGTGTGTGTGTATCTACATACATAGATATGTGTATATTATCTTGTATGTAATGAGATGAACTATAATATGCTTGCATGTATATGTTGAATGATGGAGTTTATTCTCTAATGATACTAGCGAGATGCTAAGATACTTGTGCACGTAATTGAAAAAGAATTTTGATATTGATATATCTTAATTGGTACAATTTTAGATGTTGCTTACAGTTGTATAGATATAAATATGTTGTTAATATAGTGAAATACATTAAATGTTTTGCACTATCATGAATGATCATATCAAAGTAAATTGTATAAAGCTTTTAATACTTCTAACTAACAAGTATATTATTTTATTTTTGTTATATTATTTTAGTATAGAAGTAGGTGTACTCACTAGTTTTTGTAACTCACTATTATTTTAAATTAATATTTTAGGTTTATGCTTTTGTGTAATGATGAGTAATAGAGAAGAAATTTCTATAAAGATGTGGGTGATAAAATGTATTTAAAAATAGTTGTGTATTTGTGCATAAATATTGCACTATTGTTTGCTTATGGTACTTTTGTTTGTGTTATGCAAGCTAGAAAAAATGGCAAAAGTATTGTAACAGCG